GAGAAGACCTTAAGAAACAAAAATGGGACGAAGTGTATAAGGATGATATTAATATTGCCTATGATTCGTTTATGAAAATATTGGTTGGATTATATGATAAGAACTGTAATCTAATTAAATTAGGAAATATCAGGAAAAATACTGTAAACAAACCTTGGATGACAAATGGGATAACAACTGCTTGCAAGAAAAAAAATTATACAGAATATTTTTGAAATTAAGACTCAGAAGAGATATAAAAATACAAGAATAAGTTGACATGGATTATAAGAAAACAGAAAAAAAGCAATATTTTAGTAATTTGTTAGATAAAAAGAAAGACAATACAAAGGATATACGGGGAATAATTAACAAAGTTGTAAAGAAGGATAAATTTAAACTACAAATTCCATATCATTTCATGAAGGACAATGAAGATATTTATGACAAAGATACTACAGTAAATGATTTCAACATTTTTTTTGTAAAAATCGGTCCTAATTTGGCTCAACAAATACTGAAAGTTAATTACGACTATAGTACTGGCCAAGAAATAACCGTCAACAATATTTTTCTTCATGGAGTGGAGAAGAGTGAAATTCTGCAAGTTGTACAACAGTGTCAAAATAAGGCCAGCTAAGTTGACATGAATATGGTATTTATAAAAATATTATAGATTTCATTATTGATTCATTTACAAATATATGTAACTCATCATTTTCAAAAGGGATTTTTCCCGATAGCATGAAAGTCGCAAAAATTGTGCCAATTCATAAAGGTGGGAACAGACATGAGTAAAATAACTACAGACCGATATATCACTTCTTCCACAATTCTCAAAAATTCTGGAGAAATTATTTGCCTCAAGATTGGACAAATTTATAAACAGATACAGTATATTATATAACTGTCAACATGGATTTCACTCTAATCATTCAACTGCAACAGCAGAAGAAATTTGGCAGAAGAAATTTCAACTGTAATAGACAAAAAGCAATACCTACTGCGTGTGTTTGTAGACTTACAAAAAGCCTTTGATGCACTAAATCATTCTATATTATTAGTAAAATTACACAAATATGACATCAGAGGAGTAGCACATGAATGGATTACAAGTTACCTAAAAATAGAAGACAGTTTGTGGAAATTGTTGGTAGAAAGTCTGCTGTGAAGAATATTAGTTGTGGGGTACCACAGGGCTCAGTCCTTGGACCGATACTCTTTCTTCTGTATATTAACGACATTACTGTAGGATCTCTAAATTGCTTAAGTCAATTTTTTTCACAGATGATACATTTTTTTATTTTGGAGAAAATATCAAAAAGGTGTTAAAGTTGGTTGAAATTGAATTTATAAAAACGAAACAATGGTTTAATAGTAATTTTATTTCATTTTTTTATTTAACCTTTATTTAACCAGGCAAAACATTAAGAAGAACGTCTTATTTACAGTGTCAGCCTGGCGGGTACCAGAGACACCCATAAGGAAAAGGTGAAACAACAACAACAACAACAACAACAACA